ATATATAGGTTATATTGGTAGGGATTTCAATTTATTTGAAAGAAAAGAAAACATAGGGGAGAAGAGTGAAAGTTCGGATTTAATTGATTTTAAAATTACTAATAGAAGTTCCATCAGTATTGATGACATGTAATCAATGCCAATGGGATTATCTATGAGTTTCTTAAATATTTTTATTTTATTAATGATTTTATCAAAAATAAAAAGATTAATATCCAATGAACTATTTCATTGCTGATTTTGTTAAAAATTTCAAAATCTTCTGTAAAGTTTTAACAAAAATAGGTAATTCATTACTGATTTTATCACAATAAAAAACCTAATTTATAATGTAATAATTTATTCCTAAATTCTTTGGTATACCAAAAACCTATTGTAACTTTATAATAAAAATGGGTGGTCCATCGCTAATTCTATTGACAAACAATTTCATAGTTATGTTCATCGATAATTTTACTCTTTTTTTTTGTTTTTTTATTACAACCCCCCTGCTAACCTAAACATACAACAACAACAACAATGATATAAAACATATTCAATTCAACAATTGCTAACATTAATTCCACAACCATAAAAAGAAGAAGAAAGAAACATGTGAAAATATAATGTATTAAAAAATACCAACAAATGTCCAAGATAATTTCATTTTTAATACACAATGAAATATCATATTTAAATTAATTTAACACCTTTTAAGCAAATACACAATGAAATATCATATTTAAATTAATTTAACACCTGTTAAACAAAATCCTTCTTTTCATGGTAATCAAGCATCTCAAGTCAAATTTTAGCTTAGATATAAGGAGAAAATGTTTTATACATGCATGAAAAGATTAAGGTAGATAAATATCAAATATTGATTAAATATTTTAATGATGCAAATATTAAGGCAAAATTGATGCTCGCATCAAACAGAGCTTATTTTGAAAGGATAAATCTTGTTGTTCTATAGATGGTTTCGGCTTTGTAATAAAGAACTTATCACTAACTAGCTCTATACTCTCATGGTCACAATACAAATTTAGATCCATTCTAACTTTCATATTTTTCATTATTTTCCCTTTCATGTTCATGAACATGTTAAGAATATTGTTAAACACATTCTTCTTGATATGGATGGCATCCAAATTATGGTGGATGACATTGGTCTTCCAATAAGAAAACTCCTATAATCAGAGAACTTTTCTATACTAT